GTTGAAATAGTGATGAAATGGTGGTTACACCTCATATCTTTAGAGAATATAACTCTGAATGTATTTCTGATTTCTTTAAAATATAGTCAGTTTGAAGATCTTACTCTATAAAAAAATGTGAAACAAATAAAATAAGTGGAGATTGGTTAGAGTAGAGAAGTGTTTCTCTTAAAAAATTATTTTGGATCCTAGTGTTAATTTTTGCAAAAACTGAATGGCTGTTGATGGGAATACGGTACTAACTGCTTCAGTAGGGGCTCTCTTTGGGTTCATTGTGCCTGCCTGACCATCTACCTTGTTTAGATCTCAGAGAAACCTTCGGTTACAAAACGCTTTGTCTCCATTTTGTGCAAATGTATCACTTAGGTATTAAGAAAGCCTCTGTATTAGTTTAGAACAGTTAAAGCTGTTCCGCCTGGTGCTGGTGCAGTGATAAATATAAATGTCAATACAGCATCTGAAATCTCACAACAGGGCTTCGTTTTAAGTGATCCAAAAGATCTAGAATATAGCTGCTGATTTTTAAAAATTATCTAAATAGAAAGCTAAAATTTAAAACGTTTGTGAAATGAGATGGCTGAGAATCCTTCTGGAAATTAGCAGGGTCCTGGAAGTCTTGGGTGAAAAATAAGGAGGATTCTAGAGACAAGTAATAAATGAAAAGGAAATTGTTTAATGGAATGAAGACTTCTGGCCCAGAAAATTCCAGGAGTTTCCTTATGTTCCTCAGTACTACCTCAGCTAACTGAAATCCAGTGAAGCAGTGGCAGACTGAAAAAGAAAAGCATACCATAGCAGTAACTCCCACAGACTTTGGGGACTATTTTAACAAAGTTCTTCATCCTGTGAATAAGACAAGATGGGCGGCCACGAGAATTTACGAAGTGAGCTCCTCTAGAGCGGTGGCCCTCAAAGCCTAATTCCTGACCGGCTGCATCAGCACCACCTGGCAGCAGGTTAAAAATGCAGGTTTTCAGCCCTACCCTAGACCTACTCAGTCAGGAAACTAGGGGTGGGGCCCAGGGGCGGTGTCCTAACGAGCCCTCCAGGGAGCTCTGATTCACTCTGAAACTTGAAAACCACTGCTCTGAAAGTGATGGAGAATTAAACAGTCTGGTCATACCAGAATTTCAGGTTAAAAAATTTTCTACTTCTGCCTGAAAGTTTGCCTAACTTATCTGGCAAAACTAATCTTTGCTTATATGCAACCTTTTAAAAAATGATTTATGAGAATATTATGCTTTTGAAAATCTACTTCTGTGCTGTATAAATTATGAAATGCTATTTTTATGAGGTGTATTTTACTTTAGCTTGGGGATTTTAAAGAAGGTCCTGTAGATCCAGTATAGATTTAAAATACTTTTCTAGTACACTGGTTGAAACTATTGAGAATTTGTTCCCCTTCCGATACACAGATGTCAGAGGACAAGCAAGAGAGGACATGTGATCTGGGGGACAGAGAACAAAGCAAAGCACTGCTTCCAGAGCGTCCCTTCCTAAGGAGTCTCTTGCTAATACTTGGAACATTGTCAGTACACAGATAATCCTCAATAAAGGATGAGAGTAGAGAGGGAAGGTACAGTCAAGTTCGAGAGTCTTTTGTTGTTGTTTTTGAAGTATAGTCAGTTTACAATGTTGTGTCGGTTTCTGGTGTACAGCACAATGCTTCAGTCATACAGGAACATACACACATTCGTTTTCATATTCTTTCTCACCGTAAGTTACTACAAGATATTGGATATAGTTCCCTGTGCTATACGTTATGGACTTGTTTGTTTTATGAGAATCTGAGAATCTGAACATTTCTGAGCAACATTAGGTAGGATGAGCACCAGCCATTTGCTTTTTATTGAAGCTTCTGGGAAACTTTGGTATATAACCTGTAAGTTCTTGCCTAGGAATTGGCAAAATTTCATTATCCGAACTTGAAGGAGATGCCCTTTCCATTGCTTTGAAAAGGGGAAAACAAGCCAAAGAAGTAAATTCCTTAAAAATTTAAGTGAAAACCACTTTGATATGTTTCCCCCTAGAAAATGCCATAATAAACTAGTAAGAGTTAAAAGAAAATGGAAGAAGAGATTTTTAACATATAACTGACAAAGATTTGTATCCACAATATAGTAAAGAGTATCTGTTTTTTTAAAAAAGATAAACAGCACAGTACAAAAATGGGCAACAGATTCTTCACAGTCTAAGGAACATGACTGAGTCCAAGTGACTAAGGCCAAGAACATATGAAAAGATGCTCAACCTCATTATAACTCAGCAAAATGCAAATTAAAACCACAGTGAAGTATCATTTCACATCCACCCGAATGAGTAAAAATAAACTGTCTGCTAATACCAACAGTTAGCAAGGATAAGTAACATGAAATTGTCATGCATTAAATCTTCTAGGAATATAAATTGGTAAAACCACTTTGAAAATAGTTTGACATTACCTAGTAAAGTTGAGTAATACCATATCCTTTTTCCAGCAATTCTATTCCTAGGTTTGAATAACTTGGAGAAACTCTTGCACATGTATACCAGGAAGTAGGTAACAAAATTGTTTACAGCAGAAAACTAGAGCAGGAAAGATTGTAAGTAATTCTGGTGTTCATTTATACAATGGACTATGGTAGAGAAATGAAAATAAAAGAAGTACAGATCGAAGCATGAACCCAAAGCAATGTTGAGTGTAAAAAGCAGGTCACAGAAGGATACATACTATATGAATATATATATTCATATATATATATATATATTCACATACATGTGCAAAAAAAGCAAAACTAAAACTGTGTAAAGATATATACATTTAAGGTAAACTGTAAAAGAAAGAGAGAATGATTAATTCAAAATTCAATACAGTGGCTTCTTTTGGGGAGAGAGATACAGCAGGAAAGGGGAACGTGCGAGTACTAGTAATGTTTCCTTTCTGAGGCTGGGTTGTGTGTTCATTTTGTTATTCTTTAAGCAGCACTGTAAACATGCCTGGATTTTACTCTGGGATAAAGAGCTGTCTCTTGGTCACTCTGTTAGTCACTCTAAGAAATGTCATGTTCCCAAACAGCAGATCTGTTAGTCACTGTAAGGAATGTCGTGTTCCAAAACTATAGACCCTGGGTGGCATATAACATTACCTTTGCCCCGATACCTCATTCCTATCATCTTGTGCATTATAGTGCCTTAGTAGTAGGGTGACCATTGGATTTATGGCCCATACTGGAACACTTGAGAGTGGAGTGAGGGGATGCTTAAAATAATGAAAACAATATGAATTTCTTTGAAGTATTTATTGAACAAGAAGTTGGCTCTACTATATACTATAAACCTCAAAAATAAATTATATTAAACCACACTAAAAACCTTTTGTATTGATTGTCCAAACATTTAAAACTAGCAAAAGCTAAATAATTACTCTTGGTACGAATTCATGTCCTTTTTCCAGTTTCTTACCCTTATCTGTCTCAAATACCATGTCATTGGTATTTTTATGAGGGGAGTATTTTTTCAAAATGGTCTTATATTTTTCCCCTAAAATTGCCTGCCACCTTCTTTAAAATTGCATTTTGTGGTCAATCTATTTGAAAGTGCTGGTACTTTCTTTTGAATCTTCTCTGCAGACTATTATTTTTAACTGAGAAAATACACTCTCAGGATACTTGGTTATTGTCTTAAAGTGGAAATGCAAAGGAGGTTTACCAAACTTAGTAATGGCAACAGTGATAATAATTATTTGTTCAGAAAAGCAGGAAAAAAATCGAGGATAACTGCTAAACCAGATGAGGTGCCAGAACAGGTGTAAGCCAGACCTGTCTTGGGCAGTTACACAAAATGCCTACAGTTTAACATCTGCATAAGCGCACCTCTGTTAATTTACTCATTATTGGACCCAGATGGTTACTAGCTGACAGACCTCTGTGGTGAACCCTCCTTTCTTCTCAAAAGATGAAAACACATAAAGGGATCCATAAATGTTACCGGTTTAAGGAAGAAAATATATTAGTTAAAATACTAAGTTGGGAAAACTTGGCAGACGGGGAGCAGGAAGTAGATCCAAACTTTGAAGTATTGGGCATTTGGCAGCCACGAAAAATTTAACCAAATTGCTAAGTCTTAGGATTATTTCTTATTCACATAGGAACATTTTATGAGATAAATGATCCACATGTATGGAATTTATAGAGCTACTTCATTTGTACTGTAGACGTTTTGTGGAACTTACGTATTTTTTCCTATAGAACAGTCCCACTGTATCTGGAAGGACATTGCTTGTTGGGTCACTTCATAGCTGTTTGGGAGGCATCCACACGGCGAGGAACCAGTGAGGTTCCTTCCAATCACCGGACCCTCCCGACCAGCCTTCCCAGTCTGTGGATCACATATCCCAGCATGGTTCTGAGTATTTTACTGAAACATTTTCAGAAGGCTGTATTTTTTTTCTTTTAAAAATGCCTTTTCAAAAAAGTTTTTAAATGCACCTTCTCAAAAAATATTATTTTCCAATGGCCACTCTTCCCATGGAGAGAGTATTAATACCACCCCCCATATTAATATTGAGTCAGAAAATAATATTGTTCTAAGCAATTTACAGTAAAACAAACGTGCCTCAAACATACTGTGCTTATGCAAAGTACTCTGATAGCGATCATTTGAAAGCTATTGATGGAAAAAAATGTATTTTGGCACATGTTATAAGTTCTTTCCCTCTAGAACTCAGTTATCAGAAAATCTAGATTCTATCAAGTAACTGTATTAACGGATTTGAATTTTATTCTTGCTTCTCCCTCTTTTTTCCCAGTTGTGGTTTTTTGTTTTTGTTATTATTTGGTTGCTTTTTGTCAACAAAAGACAAAAGGCAGAGGCATTGAATGAACCATGGATGAAGGTAGTGTGTGGCATATGGCCAAATAGTATATAACACGTGGAAATTACATTTCATTTAACCTAAAATAGACCTAAATAGGTGGAAATGACTTCACCATTTTAAATGTTTTTGTTTCTTCTCTCCATAGCTCTGAGGAAGAACAGAAATCACTGCTAACTATACTGAAAAGGAAAAATTAAGTGACTTCCTCCACTGCAAACCATGGCACTACCGTTCCGGAAAGACTTAGAAAAATACAAGGACCTCGATGAAGACGAACTCCTTGGGAATCTGTCAGAAACAGAGCTGAAACAGCTGGAAACTGTTCTGGATGATCTTGACCCTGAGGTAGGTGCTACCTAGTAAAGACATGAAATAATTTTTCAAACCCTTTGATACTAAGTCGCTGCCTTTGAGCAGTTAGCTTCTTCATGACTTCCCTGGCACTGCCATCCCCCTTCTTCTCTTTACCCAAATGAACTTTTTGCCTCCTTTCCAGTCCCCCTACTTCTGCCTCACATCTCTGCGGGTGTGACTGTTCTAAACTATTTTCTCCCACATCTCTATTTACAAACATCTCCTGAAATTTTCTCTCCTGTAAGAAACCTTTTCTCTCTGGGCGGGGAGCAGTGTTTTTGGTGAGACGCAGCAGATGACTAGCTCTTCGATGTATGCCAGCCTCCATGCCTCTTCAGGGCTTCTGTCCCAGGATGGCTGCAGTGTAGAGTGTCTCGAGAAAGTTCTTCATGACCTTGCGGTTACCTTTCTGAAAGATGCTGGCCAGATTGGACCAAAGTTTCTAGTTATTGATAGACTAGATCTAAGTAGACTCTGGGCAGTGGAGCAGACCTGAATATATGTATATATGTTTTATTTGCAAACTTGTTGTTTATCTTAAACAATACACAAGGCGATGGTAGAGACCCTTGACCCTTGAATTGTTATTCCCTGGGATGTATGGGGGTGGGGGACGGGTTGAAGGCAGTGAGGGGAGAACACGAAGGTTCTGGCTCCTTAACCTGAAGGTAATGGTTATTTGCTAGGCTTCTTTTGTTTACCACGTTTTATTATGCCAAGACGTTGATTTCTTTTTAGTGCCTTTTAAGGATTGTGGTGGAGTTTATGAATGTGCTCTTGTCACTACCACACATTTATTCCTGCTGGAATGTTTTCAAATTTTTATTGAAAATTACACTTCTGTTCTCAGCATTACTTTAGCACCTGAGTAATGTGTCTGTACCATCAATCAAATCCCTTAACCATAATTGTTATTGTAAGGAAAAATTTCCAGTTCACCTGAGTGTGGGATAACTCAGAATAACAGTGCTGTTTTGCATGTCACAGTAGTAACTTCTACGGGCAGTTCAACCTATCAGACCTATTTAAATCTAACGGTAGGAACATACAAGTTCATCCAGTCTAGGGTTTCTCAACCTTGGCACTGTTGACATTTGGGGCTGAGTAACTCTGCTGTGAGTCTGTCCTATGCATTGTTGGATGTTTTGCAGCATCCATGGCCTCTACTCACTGCATACCAGTAGCACACCCTCCTGTTTTAAAATGTATCTGGGATTTTGTTTAGATAAGGTGTGGTAAGATGACAGGCGTGGAGACAACTTGAAAGAAGAGTTTGTTACTCACATTTCTCAACAGCAGGAGGTGCACCTAGCCATGCAGGCTCACACTTGGAGAAGCAGCTGGGTTGGGAAGCGGAGGGCATGAGGAGCAAGCACAGCCAGAACTTTTATTGTGGTTTCCAAGGGAAGGAATAGGAGAGACATGATAGGCCAGTCTGAGCAAGTTTAGAATTGGAGGGTTTGAATAATTTCAGTGGCTCTGGGCTGCAGGAGTGGTCTCTAATTGTCTGGTACCTGGCCCTGGGTAATTTAGGGCAGGGGAAATACTGGCTTGGTGTGTGAGAGATAAAAGAGGGTTGAGGGTATGGGCTCTGGACTGATTGGTTTTTGTAAGGAAGGTGCCTGGTGGTGAGGTTGGGGGAGTCGTTTGCTATCCCTACAAATTAGTTAGCCCCAGGAGGGGCAGTCTTTCCAGGATTAGCAAGGCCTTCAAGATGTCAAAGCACTATAACATACAGAAAATAAAAAATGTGATTGGGGGAGGGAAATAGCTCAGTGGTAGGGCACATGCTTAGCCTGCACGAGGTCCTGGGTTCAATCCCCAGTACCTCCACTAAAAATTTATTTTTAAAGGTGATTAATATGCCCTCTCCCCAAATTATGACAGCCAAAAATATTCCCAGATATTGCCAGTTGTCCCGAGATGGAAATGCCCCTGATTGAGAAATATCGATCTTGCTCTTGCTTGCTCTCTGTTTCATAGATGGAAAACAAAAGTTAGGTGACTTGTCTGAGTTATTACAATTAGGGAAAGAACTGAGACTAGACTCCTGGCTACCTGATTGACCCCTGGCAGAGTCTAGTGGTCTTTCTGTTAAACTACAGTGAGTCCCCTTGAACTCATGCCCTATGCTGTTGGCTTATATTTTCTTATTTGGAAATCCACGGCCTGCTTCTTGTATGGGGAGGCTTGAGTTCTAACAACTGGGTGTATTTTGAAAACTCTCCAACCCTAGTTGCAATCCCCCAACCTCAGATACTGTTCAATGAGGGTAGAAGAAGAGTGATATTTATTGATAGCTTTCCACTTGTTGGGTGAAGTTTTTGAGAAGTGTACCAGTAAAGGACCAGGGAAGAAAGAGGGCAAAGGTGGCAGCAGCTGCTTCAGCCAGAGGAACACACTGTACCTTACAGAGTCTCAGAAGGTAGGTAGAGAAGAGCAGATGAAGTTTATATATGGTGCCTTGTTTTATCTTGGAGGGCTGTTTTACTTGTTGCTGCATTCAATATATATATTTGCTAACTTACTGCGTTTTCTAGAAACTTCTGTCTAAAAGACAGCCAGCCAACCTAGGCAAAAGCTATTTTTTTCATTTCCAGGGCTGCGAATATATTACTACAACAAAATTCCACTGCAAGGGAGAAGCATATAATTTTTAGTGGCAGTCATTTTGATGAGATTTTTACTTGTTAACTAATTATGATCCATTAACTTACTTGATTAAAGTGTACTTCTACTAAAGCTTAGTTCATGGCCTCCAAAACCAGTTAGCTGTTATTTATTTTGTGGTCAAAGACTGTGTTTAAGGAGCCAGGGTTCTGGCTAACTTATCATTTAAAACCTCTATGTTTCACGTGGGCTTGAGCAGGCAGGTGGAATTATGCAAGTCCATTGCTACCACCATGAAGGAACAGTATGTATGTATGTGCCTTATTGATGGTGACGGAAAGTAACTTATATTAATTTGCCTTATTGAGCAAAGTATCCTCAAATCTTTATTCAGTTAATATTGGAGGGAGGGCAACCTATAGATCCCAGTTACTATGCTAGGCTTAGAGATACGAGAGTGAGCAAGACAAATGTGGTCTCTGCCTTCATGATGCAGGCTGCTAGGAGTGGGGGGAGTTAGGCATTAATGACATAATCATGCCATAGTAATATAGGAGCATATGATGGGACGCCAGGAAAAGCGGGAAGGAGGGAATGGAGCTGCAGTCTGAAATATGAGTAGCAAAGAGGGATGGACAGAGCATTCCAGGGAAGGCCCTGTGGTAGAAGGAAGTAAATGGCAAGCACAAGGGAGGAACAAGAGCTGATGTGGCTAGAATGGAGAGGGCATGTGAAACGGAGCTAGGATAACTTTGCGGGTGGAAGTGGCGGTTGAAGAGTGTCAGGCAGCTGATCCAGGGAGACCAGCTGGGAGGCTAATGTACTATTCTGTCCCAGCTTGGATCATCATTTATACCAAAGTAATGGTATTGGAGGTGGAGAAAGGTTAGACAGTTTTTTAGGAAGTAAAAATGGGTAGTACTTGATGGTTGGTTGGAAATGAATTCTTGTGTTTAACTCTTGATTTCAAAATCTGAGGGTAGAGATCTTGTGTTCCTTTTTTATATTCCTAAGACAGTTTTCTGTTAGAAAAATATTCTTGGTGCATGATTAGGAACAGACCTCATCTTTATAGGTGAGCTTTCTGTTTAATGCATACTATTATATGGGGAGAACATAAAGGTAAGTTTTTTTTTAATTACTGTGGATCTCAGCAAATGGCCAGAGTTGAAGTACTATATTTTTCAGTTAAAAAATGAATATTTCCTCTTATCATTTTCCATATAAGATCACCATTTGTAATGAAAAATGATCTTGTAACACCCAGGAGATTCAGCATCATGGCCAGTACTGGGAGATGTTGCAAAATAGGGTTGGCTGTTTTGTGTGACTTTTCTTGCTACTTCTCATTTTCACAGCAAAGAATACTTGAGAATAGTAAGACAAGGCAATATCACCTCCTTGACTTTTGACGAGCAAAAGAATGGACGTCGTGTTGCCTAGTCACCACTGGTTCTTCCTGGGCTTAGTGAATGTACAGAGCAGGGACTAACAGGGACAACGTCAGTCCCTCACCTCCCATCTCTCCCCTGCTCTCAGTCACTCCATGAACTCAAAAGGGCTGTACCCATGTGGAAACACAGGGATGTCACTCTTCCCATGAATATCCCTGGATGTCTTGGTGCATGAGTAGCAGTGACGGTGGTTGCTGCAAATCCCTCCTAATGCTGACGTACACACACATAGAACACATTCATACACCTTGAAGTTGAACCTTCCCCACTGCATTTAAACACAAACAAGTAAACATTAATTGCCTGATAGCCTACTGTATGTGTACATGTTTTTCTTATGAGAAAGTCATGATAATGAAGTCATTATGAAAGACTATGATGTATATAGTCTTTTAACATTCTTTTATGCAGTGGAATTATTTTCTATATATACATATATACTGAGCTGTTATTATGCATTAAACGATATTTTTTATTACTGTCCCAGGACATTTAAAAAGTAAAGGCTGTTTCCTGCCAGTAGAATACTTTCTGAAGAAAATGTGATTGTGCCTATGTTAATAACATGTGAGTGAATTTTACCTAATAAAAAAAACCTTTGGAACACTTTTAAATTGCTGCTCTAAAATCCTGTAATGAAGTCTTGAATGCCTGCGTCACATTCTTAAATGGGTAATACCTGGAAGCATATAGTGTCGGTGTTCTTGATGGTCATAATGGCTGGCTCATTTTCTTTGGCAGAATGCCCTTCTGCCTGCAGGGTTCCGGCAGAAGAACCAGACATCGAAGTCTGCCACAGGGCCATTTGATAGAGAACACCTCCTTTCGTATCTGGAGAAGGAAGCTTTGGAGCATAAGGACAGGGAAGACTATGTGCCCTACACTGGAGAAAAAAAAGGTAAACAGAATTTTGAAGTCATTCAATAGCACTTGATTTTTCTTTTTTAGTTAGGACTGGGGAAAATAGTATTTTTAGAGGTGCATCATTGATAGCCTTAAAGATATAATACTATTCACCTGAAAAATTATTAGGTAATTTAGGGCATTCATGTACATTCACCAACTTGGCCAATAAGTTCCTTAATGATTTGTTAGTCAGGTTTTATTACACAGTGATTTTTCATTCTCTTTAGAACTCTTTAGTTTTCTCCTGTAACAAGTATTAAAAGCATACTGAGGTAAAATTTTAAATGTACTAGTGTATTAAAGAATGCAAATGATGTCAAAGTGCTGCTCTATTCTAACTCCTGTCTTTAAAGTAGAATGCCGTAAAAAATAATTCAGGCCATATTTTCAAAGACTCTTTAAAGGATATCCTACAGCCTTCCTTATTAATTCAGTGCTTCATAACCATTATCATTATAATTGTCAATGCTTCATAATCATTACTTTCAGGAAATTCTTCTAGCCCAAGTCCCATTGCAGATTTTGTCCATAACTAGCCTCAGTGGAGAAAGAGTACAGCTGTATTTTTAAAAGCTCTCTATATAATAACATTTACCATGAAGTAGGTTAAGTTTCTCAGCTTTCAATACCGGTTGGCCTAAGAAGGCAGATCCTACTTGCACTCCTATTTAGAATACGGTTCGTGGAGCGCTGGGGAATGCTGGCCGCAGGAGGGCTGAAGATCAGCTCTTCCGGGCACTGTTTTTCTGTCTGAATCCTTAGTAGTCCAGGCGGGGAGAATGACTAGAGCACAGTGCTTTCTCCTAGTGAGGCTCTAGCCTTTTCTTTGGAAGGAAGCCCTTCTCAATAATCTGGCTGCAACCCTGTCACATGGCTATCCCTTAGCTGCAAGGGAAGGTGAAAATTTCTTTTTAGCATTTCCACCTCTGTGATAGAGGAAGGTTGTAAATGGCTTTTGAGTAGGTGTTCCACAAGATCTGCGTCAGGCCTTTTCAAAATTATCTGTCATCTCCAACTCCTCAGCTCTTTCTGTAGACCCCACTTCCCCCTTATCTCTAGTTGAGAATCACTACCTTAGATATTTGTATTAGTCAAGGTTTTCAGGGAATTGGAACCAAAAGGGTGTATGTGTGTGTGTATAGAGAGAGATGGATATATTTGTTCATTCATTCATTCCTTTTTTTTAAATTGAAGTATAGTTGGTGTAAAATGTATGTTTCAGGTATACAGCACAGTGATTTCACATTTTTAAAGGTTACACTCCATTTAAATTTATTATAAAATGTTGGCTATAATCCTGGTGCTGTACACTATATCCTTGTAGCTTATTTATTTTATACATGGTAGTTTGTACTTCTTAATCCCCTACCCGTATCTTGCCCCTCCTCTCTTCCTCTCCCCCTGGTAACCACTAGTTTGTCTTCCATATCTGTGAGTTTGTTTCTTTTTTTGTTATATTGACTACTTTTTTTTAATTCCACATATAGGTGATAACATAACAGTATTTGTCTTTCTCTAACTTATTTCACTAAGCATAATACCCTCTAGGTCCATCCATGTTGTTGCAAATGGCAAAATTTCGTTCTTTTTTATGGCTGAGTAGTGTTCCATCGTGTGTGTGTGTGTGTGTGTGTGTGTACACCACATCTTCTTTATCTGTTTATTGATGGACACTTAGGTTGCTTCTGTATCTTAGCTGTTGTAAATAATGATGCTCTGAACATTGGGGTGCATGTATCTTTTTGAATTAGTACTTTTGTTTTCTTCAGATATATATCCAGGAGTGGAATTGCTGGATCATATGGTAGTTCTATTCTTAGTGTTTTGAGGAACTTCCCTACTGTTTTCCACAGTGGCTGCACCAATTTACATTCCCACCAACGGTGTACAAGGGTTCCTTTTTCTTTACATCCTCACCAACATTTGTTATTTGTGTTCTTTTTGATGATAGTCATTCTGACTGGTATATCTCATTGTGGCTTCAATTTGCATTTCTCTGATGACTAACTATGTTGAGTACCTTTTTTATGTACCTATTGTATATGTTCTTTGGGAAAATGTCTCTTTAGGTCTTCTGCCCACTTTTTAATCCAGTTGTTTGTTTTTTTTGATGTGTTTTATGAGCTGTTTATACATTTTGGATATTAATCCCTTACCAGTCATATCATTTGCAGATATTTTTTCCCATTCAGTAGGTTGTCTTTTTATTTTGTTAATGGTTTCCTTTGCTGTGCAAAAGCTTTTAAATTTACTTAGGTTCCACTTGTCTATTTTTGCTTTTGTTTCTTTTGCCTTAGGCAGCAGATCCAAAAAAAGTACTGCTATGATTTATGTTAAAGGGTGTTCTACCTATGTTTTCTTCTAGGAGTTCTATAAACCTGAAACAGTCTTACATTTACATTTAGGTCTTTAATCCATTTTGAGCTTATTTTTTTATATGGTGTTAGAGAATGTTTTAATTTCATTCTTTTACATGTAGCTGTCCACTTTTCCCAGCACCACTTATTGAAGAGATTGTCTTTTCTCCATTGTATGTTCTGCCTCATTTGTCATAAGTGCATGGGTTTATTTCTGGACTCTTTATTCTGTTCCACTGATCTGTGTTCTGTTTTGGTGCCAGTACCATATTGTTTTGATGCCTGTAGCTTTGTAGCATAGTCCAAAGTCAGGGAGTGTGTCTCCTCCAACTCTGTTCTTTTTTCCTAAGATTGTTTTGGCTATTATGGTCTGCTGTGTTTCCATACAAATTTTAAAATTATTTGTTCTAGTTCTGTGAAAAATACCATTGGTATTTTGATAATGATTGCAATGAATCTGTAGATGGCCTTGGGGAGTATGGTCATTTTACCAATATTAATTCTTCAAATCTGTGAACATGGTATATCTTTCCATCTGTTTGTATTGTATCTAATATCTTTCATCAGTGTCTTTTAGTTTTCGGAGTACAGGTCTTTTACCTCCTTAGGTAGGTTTATTCCTAGGTATTTTTTTTTCTTTTTGATGCAGTTGTAAATGAGTTGTTTCCTCAACTGAAAGATTTGTTTTAAAGAATTTGCTCATATAATTGTGGAAGTTTAGCAAGACTAAAATCTGGAGAATAGGCCGGCAGGCTGGAGACCCAGGGAAGAGTTGCAGTTTGAGTGCAAAGGCAGTCTCCTGGCAGAATTCCTTTTTGCTCTCAGAGGAGATAGCTTTTGTTCTATTAAGATCTTCAGTGGATTGGTTGAGGCTCACCACGTTTTGGCTTTACTCAAAGTCCACTGATTTAAATGTTAATCTCATCCAAAAAAGCGCTTTCATAGAAACCTCCAGAATAATATTTGACCTGATATCTGGGCACCATGCCCAGCCAAATCGGCACATAAAATTAACCATCACACTACTTGCTGATGGTGCTGGAAGTGTCATGTTTCTCAGGTGTTTGGGACCAGAAAGAGGTTTGAAAACCAATGCATAGGTTTGAATTGTGGAGAATCACAAAGATAGACAAGTGCATCAGTACTTTGTATTTGTCATAGAAATGACTGCTGTTTGTATTTCCATGTGTACAGCCATACCTATACCACTGTTTATAGCTTTAATCTTATTTATGTAGGAGAAGACAGTTTTATGAGATCACTTTTTACTATTATGTATGTTTCGGGTGGACTCTGGGGGTATAATTAGGAAGAATAGAAATAGAGGGAGAGATGTGAGAAAAAGAGATGACGGGAAGAATATGGATTTGAGGACAAGGAGAGAAAATAAGAGATGTGAAGAGCTGCATTTGTCCTAAGCTGGCCCAGAAAACTTCCCAGTGTGCTTCTGTTTCATGATCTCCGGTTACCTAGGAAAAGGTCTTGGAGGGTTAGAGGAGGTAGGAAAGAAGGTAGAGAAGAACTGTGGAAAATAAGAAGGTATCAAAGGGGAGAAATGGTAGAGGTGAGGAATATGGATGACATTAGAAAAAAATATTACATCCTTAACTGTGATGTAATAGTTTCTATTTCCTTTTATTTTTTTTCCTATTTTTTACTTTACATTTTAGATGGGTATGAAATAAATGGGAGTGGTTGAATTAAAAAGCAAGTAATTTTGTATTCACAACCAGTGGCTTTCTTTTTATAATATGTTCAGTATTTTTGCTGCCTCTTTCACTATATATGTCTATTAAATACTATTAGCTGTGATGCAGTGATTACCCCTAGCATTTTTTAAAATAATGAACTTTTTTTTAATGGAGGTATGGGGGATTGAACCTAGGACCTCGTGCATGCTGAGCATGCACTCTACCACTGAGCTATATACCCCACACCCCTAAAATACGAACTTTTTATTGAAGTATAACATGCTTACAGAATATGCACAGATAAGAAGGCTACAGATCAATCAGTTATATAGTGAGCACACCCATGTCATCAGCAGCCAGGTCAAGACATTATCAGCACCTCCAGAAGGTCCCTCCATGCTTCCTCCCAGTCACTTTTCTCTTTCTTCTTTCCAAAAGTAACCACCATCATAGCTTTTCATACAGTAGATTAGTTCTGCTTGTTTTGACATTTATATAAATGGAATCATACAGTCTGTGTATAGTTTTTGTGAGGACCAAATTTGTTAATGAGTGTGGTGAAGTCAGTATAAAAATCCTTTATGGTGTAATCATTGCATAGGATCGTATGGTGATGTTATTACCAAGCAAGAGATTTCCATTCTCTGTCATGAAGGAGTGGTCCAGAACCACAGAGATACGTTTTTGAGTTTGAGCAATCCATCTTACGGAAGCAGACACCACCACCCTAGACTTGATGGGGCCAAGCCTTAAAAGCCATGTTACAGTGTCATAGACCTGGAGGAGGGCAAATCTGTCTTCAGCAATTGGGGAACTTTGGTTGCAGAGCTGTATTTTGAAACAGAGCTAAAAGCCACCTCTAGGCTTCTCAAAGTCACCCTGGGATCTCATCTTTAAATTTGTTGGTCTTGGTTATCCTTAGTCACTGATACGCCTTCCTTCCTTTGGGTCTCATCCCCAAGATCTTAATCACATTCCAGGAGATCGTCAGAACAATTCATCTACATCGTATTAGTATTCCTCCCAATCAACCTAAATGTGAATGCCCTCCTTAGCTCTCAAATTCGAGAATCTTGTTTTTTTTAAGCTGCCTCTCAAGTGACCTTTTACCCTGAACACCTACCTGGGTTGAGTCCCATGTTTCTTACTTAATGGCTTAATTTCACAGGAGAGAGACTTTCAGATGAAGGATGCCTTCTCAGACAGTAGAGGTTCTCCTGGTTCTTCTTAAAACAGTTTGCAAACCTGTTAAGAAAGAAAAGCATTTTACCTTTTTGGTGTATTTAGACTAGTTAGAATCCATAAAATGTGCTGTTGGTGTCTAAACTAAGTCATTTTTCCTACTAAGATGACAGGTCTCGGAGTTCAGTCCCCAGTGGCAGTATTAGCTTTCTGTGCCAGAGAATGTTATAGGGATTCACTCAGTTCCTTCAGCTCCTTCCAGGTTGTATGCCAAAATCACGTAGTGATCGCTCATAAATTATTTTTAAAGATCAATCAGATGACTGCTCAGTTTTTTTTTAAAGGAAAAAATTGGGAACCACTAAAAGGAATAGTTATCCAACTACTTTCTCATATTTGGAGACTAATTAAATGGTGATTAATTATACTTGTTATTTTTTCGCTTAAATCACACTCTTTGGAGCTAAAATTATGCAGAACTGATGTGACAAAGGGAACCCCATAAAACTGAAAATTGGACATTTCAGGATTTTTCCTTTTGACCACAATCAAAAACTATATACTCATGCCAAATTTTATCTTTCTGGATCACCTCAAAATGCCTTAAAAGGCCTGACAGAGTAAGGACACTTGAGAGTTGTTATATAGAAATAAATTAGTAATTTCACTTTGTGATTTGTGAAATGATTGTTTATAATTACACATTTTACAGAATTAAAGCATATGTCAACATCTGGGAAGGAGGAATTAACCCTAATTAAGTGAAATTCAAGGCATTATGTCTTTAGTGCATTTGGGGGAATATTTTGTCCTATACCAGTAAATGTTCTGTTTTTAAGAATTACAGTTTTGTTGACAGCAAAAAGAAGATATTAGGCAGCTAATAAAAGCACAGCTGACAAAAGATGTATTAAGGATTGTTTTTAAGTGCATTGTTCACAGAATCTACAATCTGCACTTGTTGAGTTCATCTAAATCTAACAAGCTTATGGTAGGTATCATGGTATCATCAAGCAATCTTAGTAAAAATGAATGGAAATGACTTTCCTATGAGTCTACTATGTTCAAAATGTTGAGAAACTAGATGTTTAAGAAAATTAATACAATAACACAATTCCAATAGATGTTCCTTTTACTTGGACATATAGTAAAAAGTTAGGAGGCTTTTTACCTTTTTTTCCTTGAAATGTTGCAAAATACGTAACTGAGGCATTGATCAAAAGTGAAGGAGAGTATTCGTGTAGCTCTTCCTCATTCCTGAGAATGGTGAAAATGCAAAGTCTGACTATACCGCTGGTTATTATTTCTCGTGTTTTTACGCATCTTGACTATCTTGTCTCCAGGATAGATAAGGCATAGAGCCTTGCCATGAATTTGACACTGAAGAGAAATAATATGGCCCAGTTTTTAATATTTCTTACTGACTCTCATTTTGCTTTGCTTTCTCTGGAGCCTTCCTCCCCATTTCTAGTATCATACTCCACCTTTACCTAGTCTAAGACTTTTTTCCCTTGGTGTCCCATACTTCAGAGACTCCAAAGCTATTCTGCACCTTGTGCACCCACTCCAGTGCACCATCAAAGATTTCCATTCAGGCCACTGACCCTCGAGATTGGGCTCTCCCCTTTTCACAGAGCAAGACTGTTCCCTGTTGGCCTTTAGGGTAGAGCCATCTGTGCTTTCTGGTGTGTTCCCTTCCCTCCAAGACAAAGGAATGAACGGGGGACAGAACCCAGATAGAGCCTGGGGCGCTCTCTGAGCCGAGGAGACACAGCTGAGCTCCAGAAAGACCAGGACAGCCAGTGTTCATAGGACAGAGTGCCAGAGAGGAGGGAGGCACACCAAAAGTGTGCTCTGGAGATCTGCAGGGGACTGCCTTTTAGGGTTCAGCAGAGTACTGATCAGCACATGTGTGTGATGAAACTACCCTGGGCCAAAGGAAAAACCATCTGAAAAGATCAGAGATACAGTGCCCCAGCTCGTGCAGTGCTGGGAATATGTGTTCCCACCAGTTAGACTGGAAAACCTTATCATTCACAGGGCACTGGGACTCAGAAGGGTCTTTCCTCAGTGCTGGAGAAAAAATGACTCCTAGACTGAACACTGCTCCAGTCCCACCCAACAAATCTTAAAATCAAGGCCCTGAAGGATCAGGTTGTTTCCAGGTAACTTAATCATGTTCCAGAATGAAACTCTAGAATATTTATAGTGACACCAAAACATCCACCACCCAAAAAGTTAAAATTCATAATATCTGGTAGCCAATAAAAAATTA